GGATTGAAATCCTCTTCCATGCTGTCATCTGTAAAAGTTCAAAAGCTGATTTAAAAATAAATTTTAAGTTTCATATAATTGCTATGTATGATTACAATGGATTTAATCTCAAAACAATTTGAGAAAAAGTAGTTACCTGAGACAGAAATATTAATCTGATGGCTAACTGTACTGATGTTATGTAACTGTAGCTCACATCTGTAGTTGCCTTCATGACGCTTTGATATACTTGTGAAGGTTAAATATGAAGTTAACAGATCAGATGATGAATATGTTTGTGAAGTTGTCATTTGATCTGTTCCTGACACTGCAATCCAAACTTTCAAGTTTTCTTTTGTCCATATAACATTGTTTGGCGAACCATGGCAATGTTTCAGATTACAGGAGATTGTGAGAGACTTGTTTACAAAGGCTTTATGGACAATCCCTCTGTGAACTTTAAAGACATTGCATTGGGGGCCATGGCCTAAAACATAACATTGCACCATATTTATAAGCATAAATAGCATCCGGTTACAACACAATTCAAACAATGACATTATTAAAATAAGGCTCTGAGTTCCGAATGAGTTGCAGAGATGCCTTTGCAAGAGTAACTTGTTTATTTTATGCAAACAAGATATAAATGAAGAACTATTTTAAAAATGTTAGAAATGTTAAAGTGCCTTTATGAAACTAGCAATGTCAATGTATAACAACTGAAATCATTTTCTAATCTACAATTTTTTTTAAATTCAGAATCTTTATTAAAAGCATAGAACTGGCAAGCAAAAATCACAACATTTACGCTAGTTTGTATTGTCTTAGACACCATATGAACTCACCCAGTGCATCAGTCCATACATGAAGGAAAAAAAGTACAAACAATTCCCGGAACAATGTCATCTTTCTCCGATCTATCCAGTCCATCTTAAATAAAAGCCAGGTTTGTCACAAATGGTCTGAGAAAATAAATTCATCCAGTCTAATCCTCACAGTCACTATCCAAAACACCTATTGTAGTCTCTCTGTCACTGTGCTCTTCATTCTTATACTTGTGGTTTTCATTTCCTTTACCTACGCAGCATGCACTCATCCTGCTCTATGAGCTTTTGCACATGTATATGAGCTTTGCATGACTTTGGACAAGAGAAAACTTTTTCTTTGTGGTTTTGTTCTGCATATTTGCAGTTATTATACCTTTATGCTTTTGTGATGCACAAGTACCGTTTGCAAGGGACAGAAATCCCACACATAATTGTCATCCAACATTGGTCATAATTCCAAAATACAAACCCACTTTGGTATTCAAAGAACAACATTTTAAATAAGACAAGAGCTTCAATTGTTTCTTGACATACAGCAGTTCTATAATTTAGCTAGAAAACCACTTATGAATGTTATAATCTGCACTGCTTGATATTCATTCATTCAGTCATTTTCTTTTCAGCTCAGTCACTTTATTAATTAGGGGTCACAAACTTATCCAGCATATGTTTTACACAGCGAATGTCCTTCCAGATGCAACCCAACACTGGGAAACACCCATAGACATTCTTTTACACACATACATACACTGCGGCTAATTTAGTTTATCCAATTCATCTATATAGCACATAGTCTTTGGACTGTGGGGGAAACCGGAGCACCCAGAGGAAACCCATACAAACACGGGGAGAACATGCAAACTTCAAACAGAAATGCCATCTGACCCAGCCGGGGGTAGAACCAGCGACCTTCTTGCTGTGAAGCAATTGTGCTACTCACTGCACCCTGCTTATATATATATATATATATATAGAGAGAGAGAGAGAAATTGTTGTGGCTATCCACGCTAATCATTGTTCCCCTTCGGTTGGGGAACGGAAGTGCCATAGAGTGGATTGATTGAAATCCACGAATGGGAGGATTCGGTTCAGAAGCCGCTTGTCTGAAAGAGTATTGAACGGGCCAATGAATGCAATGAATTGGCAGCGTAAGCTTGCACAGGTGTACTTCATTGCCAATTATCCCAGCATATAAGCACACCTGGAGCGAGCAAACGCCATCCTTTTCGCTTCAGAGACTTTCTGATCGAGTCAATGAGGGTTCCTCCTGCTGTGACCAGCGATTCTGAGCGAACGAGAGCATTCTCCCGGTCCAGAGTGTGTACACGCAGCGGCAGACGGTCGAGCTGGGTTTCTCCCTTGCCTGGCGTTCTTTGGGTCCGGTCCTCCAGAGCGGTGCGTATAAAGTTGCAAACTTCACAGAAAGAGCAACACAGTCGTGCAGCACGTCCTTTTCAGGACGGCGCTCCGACGTGCGTTTCTGGATGCGGTGGTTTCCTGTCCTCGGATGATGGGCACGGGCACTGCGTTACATGTCTGGGGGGTCCAGCATGTTAATGCGCTGCTCGCGGGCAGTTCATGTCGTCATTGCGATGCCATGACTGTTGCGCAGTAAAGATCACGGCTAGCCTTTGCAAAAGGGCAAAGCACCCCAGTTGTCCCCTGCTCTGCAGCGGGCACTCGGGCAGATCTGAGGGTTTCAGTGAGAGATAATCCGTCGCCCACGGGCCCGCGGACCTCCCGCTCCTCTAAGCGCTCCATTCAAGCTTCGGGCGGGGGAAGCGATCCGTCTAACAGATGGTAGCCCTTACGCCCGATGACACCGGAGACCAGACGTCCACCGCGGCATCGGAGGGTGGGCTTTCATTGTCCGATGATGATCCAGACCCGCTCGCCCCCTTCGGGCTGGTGAGCGCTGTCACTACGGATCCTGAAACGGACGTGTTAGCCGTGCTTTCCCGGGCTGCTTCGGCCGTGGGTTGGAGATGGTTTATCCCCCAGCTCCGCGGCCGGACCGACTAGAGGGGCGTTCCCTTCTTCCCGGAGGCGCACAGTAGGCTCACGCGGTCTTGAAAAGCACTTTTTTCTGCTCGTGCTGCGTGTCCCTCCACCCTCACCACTCTTGACGGTGGAACAGCCAGGGGGTATGTGGCGATTCCTCCGGTTGAGTGCGCGATGGCGGTCAATCCGCGCGGCGCCTCTTCTTGGCGGGGTCCGCCTCGTCTCCCATCCAAAGCCTGTAAGTTATCTGCCTCCCTCGGAGCTAGAGCTTACATAGCTGCGGGCCAGGCTGCTTCCGCCTTGCATGCGATAGCCACCTACCAGCGCTACCTAGCGCAGGCGCTGGCCGAGCTGCACGAGGGTGGGTCCAATCCAGGCTTACGAGCTTCGCACCGCCGCCGACTTAGCTCTTCGGACTACTGAGTCCGCTGCGTGTGCGTTGGGGAGGACGATGTCCACATTAGTGATCCAGGAGCGCCACCCCTGGCTGATATGCGCGAAGTCGACAAAGTCCGCTTTCTTGACTTTCCCCATATCCCAAGCCATGTTCGGCGACACCGTCTGTGAATTCACCCAGGAATTCAAGGCGGTGAAAGAGCAGTTGATGGATGATGTCTTATCGACATTCCGTAGCCCGCTCCGCCCGCCGTGCCATTCATACCTGCTCCTCGCCGAAGGCGCCCGCCTACGAGAGCTGCTCCGCCCCCGCACACGCCTCTGGCGAAGCGAGCGCGTCGGGCACCTCGGAAGCAGGCAGCCCCCCTGCCCAGAACGCCGCTAAGTCTGGCAACGGACCGCGAAACGTCCCTGGGACAGGCCATCTGGAGAAGAGGGAACTTGCTCTTTCCCCGCTGGAGGGCGGGGCCCCATTTCCAACGCACTTTTTTACTGCCATGAAAATATCATGAAAGAGCACTTTTCCACTTCCTCGGATGTGACAGCCCGACATCTGCCAGTCTGGGACGCTATGCTTTCTAGCTTGCAGATTCGGTGCATTTCGCCAGTGGCTCACGAGCGCTGGGAGGACGGTCTCCTTTCTCCCACCCCTCGAGCCTCCCCTCCGGAGCTCGGGTGCGGAGTGAGAGCAAATATCTCACCTCCAGCTTTTCCGTGGGACCCGTGCGCTTCCCAGATCAGCACACCCACTCCGTGCTGCCCCACTGCTGGTACGTCAGCGATTGTATCGATGAGTCCATTAGCGAGAGCTCTGCCTGCCTGGTTAGCGTGGGCCAGCTTTTCGCGGTGGCTCATACGCACAATCAGACTCGGCTATGCGATTCAGTTTGCGATCCAAGTCACGGGTGTGTATTCACCAGGGTCAGCCCCCTGTCCGCCCCTGTCTTGCGAGAGGAGATTGCTGTCCTCCTGGCGAAGGATGCAATCGAGCCGCTCCCTCCAGCCGAGATGGAGAGCGGGTTTTACAGCCCACACTTCATCGTGCCCAAAAAGAACGGTGGGTCACGGCCAATCCTAGATCTGCGCGTTTTGAACTGCTGTCTGCACAAGCTGCCGTTCAGAATGCTCACGCAGAAGCGCATCCTCCGGTGCGTTCGTCCTCTGGGTTGGTCTGCAGCATTAGACCTGATGGACGCGTATTTCCATGTCTCCACTCTTCCTCACCACCGTCAGTTTCTGCGGTTTGCGTTTGAAGGTCGAGCTTGGCAATACAAAGCCCTCCCCTTCGGGCTCTCTCTGTCTTCGCGGGTCCTCACCAAGCCCGCGGAGGGTGCCTTAGCGCCCCTTCGGCTTGCGGGCATCTGCATACTCAATTTCTTGACGACTGGCTGATTTTTGCCCTCTCTCTGAGCAATTGATTAAGCACAGAGACAAAGTGCTCCGGCACTTCCACCTGTTGGGGTTTCAGGTCAACCGAGAAAAGAGCAAACTCGCAACCGTGCAGAGGATCTCTTCTCTCGGGCTGGAGCTGGACTCGGTCACCATGGCAGCTGATGTTGTACTGTCTGAGAGAGCTCGACAGTAAAATAGTGGTCCCACTGAAACTATTTCAGAGGCTCCTGGGGCATATGGCATCGGCAGCCGCTTCATGCCGCTCGGATTATTCTATATGAGACCACTTCAGCACTGGCTTCACTATCGAGTCCCCAGACGCGCATGGCACGTGCGCACACCGAGTCTCTGTTACTGCGCTGTGTCGCCGCGCCCTCAGCCCTTGGAGCGACCCCTCGTTCCTACAGGCCTGGGTGTCTCTAGAACAGGTGTCCAGTCTTGTTGTCATTTCAGCAGACGCTTCCAACACGGGCTGGGGGGCTGTGCGTTGCGGGCATGCGGCTGCGGACCTGTGGAAAGGTACCCAGTTGCATTGGCATATCGCCTGGAGCTGTTGGCAGTGTTCCTCGCTCTCCACCGTTTTTTTCCGGTGCTGGAGCGGCAACACGTGCTGGTCAGGACAGACAGTACGGCGACGGTGGTGTATATCAGCGGTATGGGGGGTATGCGTTCTCGCCGCATGTCTCAGCTCGCCCGCCGTCTGCTCCTCTGGAGTCATCCGCGGCTGAAATCGCTGCACGCCATTCATATTCAGGCAAGCTCAACCGTGCAGCCGATGCGCTCTCACCGCAGCCTTACGTCCTGGAGAATGGAGACTCAACCCCGAGTCTGTTCAGCTGATATGGGCGCGATTCGGGGAAGCCCAGATTGATCTGTTGCTTCCCCCGAGATCGCTCATTGCCAGTTGTTCTTTCCCTGACCGAGTGCTCTCGGCACGGATGCACTGGCTTACAGCTGGCCTCGGGGCATGCGCAAATACGCGTTTCCCCCAGTGAGCCTGCTCGCGCAGTTACTGTGCAAGGTCAGGGAGGACGAGGAACAGGTTGCTGGTTGCGCCCCTCTGGCTCAACCGAACCTGGATGTCAGAGCTCTCCCTCGCGATAGCCCTCCCCTGGCAGTCCCTTCAAGAGAGCACCTACTCTCTCAGGGACAGGGCCGATCTTTGGAGGTCCTTAGACGCGAGGAAGACTTGGGTAACCTCCGATTGCGGTGGCTAATACCCTCACTCGGGCTAGAGCCCCCTCCCCGAGCGCGCCTATGCCCTGAAGTGGAGTCTATTCACTGAATGGTGTGTCTCTCGCAGAGAAGACCCCCGTTATTTGCCAGATCAGCGTTGTGCTTTCTTTACGCCGAGAGAAGCTGGAGAGCAGGCTGTCGCCCTCCACACTCAAGGTTACGTGGCTGCCATCTCCGCTCTCATGACGCGGTGGCTGGCAGCACCGTGGGAACGCATAACCTCATCATCCGGTTCCTCAGGGGCGCTAAGCGAATTAATCCACCCCGCCCCCTCTCATGCCCTCTTAGGATCTCGCCCTCGCTACACAAGCCATGTCAGATCCCTTCGATCCTCGACTCAGTATCTTTTTGTCCCTGAAGACAGCTCTGCTGGTCACGTTGATATCGATTAGAGGATCGGGGACCCGGAGGCATTTTTCGGTCAGTGACTCGTGCCTGTAATTGGGCTGGCTTTCTCTCACGTCCTGAGACCCCGCCCGCGATATGTGCCCAAGGTTCCTACCACTCCGTTTTATTACGAGGTAGGGAGCCTGCAAGCGCTGCCCTCGGAGGAGGCAGACCCAGCCCTTCTTTATTGTCCAGTTCGCGTTTTGCGTATTATCCTGACCGCACTCAGAGTTTAGATCATCTGAGCAACTCTTCGTCTGTTATAGCGGTCGGCAGCAGGGAAGTGCCGTACCGAAATAAATTCCCACTAGATTGTGGATGCCTTTCTTTCGCTATCAGAGCCGAAGTGAGCCGCGTCCCCCGAGAGTGCGTGCGCACTCCACTCGGAGCTTCGCATCCTCTCGAGCGCGCGCACGCGGCGCCCCTCTAACAGACATCTGTAGAGCTGCGGGCTGGGTGACACCCAACACATTTGCAAGGTTTTACAATCTGCGAGCGGAGCCGGTTTCCTCAAGGGTATTGGGTAACCCTTGGTGATTGAGGAAACAATTCGGTAGGGTGTTGAAACACGCTTGCTGCACCATTCTCCCTAACACGGAGGTATGTGCGCCTTTTTATCTGTGAGTAAAGTTCCCCGTCAGGTGAGCCCTGCAGATTCCTCCGTGGCCCCCAGCACTGACTCAGCGGAGGAGTCACTTGCTGGCCCACTAAGTTGTAGGTCTGCCCGCTGGTCAGCCCGCATTTTGGGTAAAGGTGCCTGCTATGCGTGATCCCCACTAGGCGATCCCATATGCTTATTCCGCCACGGTTAAGTCCCCCCCCTGGGCGGACCCGTGTCTTCCCTCTCCGCTAACCACTCTTTTGCTATGCGTACTCCCCCTTTTTAGGGCTAGTCCATATGTAAATTCTGCCATCTATCCCCCCTTGGGTAATGGCCTCCGCAGCGTCCTCCCTATCGGGATTGCACGCTTCCCAACGTACTGTCGTATTTTTCTAGAATTATCTAGATGCTCACGACTTCCCAAAAAATATATCTAAATCCGTAAGACTTCTGTCGAAGTAGGATAAATTAGGGCCAGGGACACGTTAGAGGACCGCGCCTCCCATGATGTGGGTGCGTCATGCTTGCTTGACTATCCCCTCATTGGGGGCGTTGGTAAGGTGCAGTCATTATGGCGCTTTCCATACTTCTCCCATTCGTGGATTTCAATCAATCCACTCTATGGCACTGAAGTTCCCCAACCGAAGGGGAACGTTCGAGGTTACAGAAGTAACCCTTCGTTCCCCGAGGAGGGGAACGGAAGTGCCATACTCCGTCGCCATAATGACTGTCCCTTAGCTGTTTGAAAGTCTCTTCAGCTTAAAAGGATGGCGTTTGCTCGCTCCAGGTGTGCTTATATGCTGGGATAATTGGCAATGAAGTACACCTGTGCAAGCTTACGCTGCCAATTCATTGCATTCATTGGCCCGTTCAATACTCTTTCAGACAAGCGGCTTCTGAACCGAATCCTCCCATTCGTGGATTTCAATCAATCCACTCTATGGCACTTCCTTTCCCCTCCTCGGGGAACGAAGGGTTACTTCTGTAACCTCGAACGTTTTACAAAATGAACAAGGAACTTCAACAACAACCCTTTATTTTATGTAAAAAAAAACAAACAAAAAAAAACATTAAAATAGTGATCAAAATGAGACACACTGTAAAAAGTTCTTTAAGGGTGTTGTCCATAGGAATTAATTTTTTAAAGTGTATTTCTTCAAATAAATTGATTATCTTTTCATTTTGAATTAATTTAAGTTTTACATAAGTAAAAAGTGCGATTGTTTTTGTAACTTATTATTACCCATCAAAAAAATGTGTTTTACTGACCTTTAAAATAAATTGCTTCTACAAAACTCTATTTAAGTGTTTATATCTAAAGTAAAACTTCACGACCCGCCCACATGACGCAGCACGCATCCAGAGCAACGACACCGTTGCTCATACCTGTACTGGACCAGTTTTGGAGTTCTGTGGAGTTTTTGAGGGCTTTATACAACGTGCAACACATGTAAGTAACTATTTACATTGCATAAAGTTTGGTTTTAGCCGAATGAGCACGCATTTATTGCACTGTAAAATGAAAACAAGTCACCCTTCATGACAGTTTTGCAAGCGCCATGCGGCCTTACCGAAAGTATGGAAGTTAGCATTAATCTCAAAACAACTATCGCAAACGTATTATCGAAATATGTTAGATTCATTGCCAGATTATGTTTATACTTTGTTTTGTGTACTTTTACAAAAAAAAACACTGTTATTTTGTTTGTCTAGTAACGTTAGCTTCAGTGAATGTGAATTATTCTGTCTCAAATCATTCGTCTTAAATGTTCTGCCTCTTTCCGAATTAGCTAGCAGAACACCACTAGCATGGGGTATCTTCCTCGTACATGTGTCAGTTAAAAGTTAACGGCTAAGTTTGTAGTCACAAATGTGTTTCCTGCTTGATTAAAAAAGATGAGGACATTATATTTTTAGCACCTCTCTCTGCAATGTATCATAAAAATCGTAAACACTTTATCTTTTGATATATTTATTTGAAATATTTTAGTTTGCCCTAAACCATTTGTTTAATTTAAAAGATTAGATTTGCATTGCAATATCATCAATGATCTTGATATTTACCTAAACTCTTCTTTAAATTTGTGTTTCTTCATTAGAGAGATGTCAGAAGCATAAATGACATGATGGCCAGGAGATATAGCTGGGGAAGAATGGAAGTGGTTGTCCAGAGCCCAGATGTGCAAAAATTAAAGAAAGATGGCCTGCCCAGGTCATGATTTATCACTATCACATATATTAAATGATTTATCACTGACATGCTGCTCACTCTGTTTTTGTTTAAAGGCAAATAATGGTGAACAAAGATGTTTATGTGATGCTAGACACACTTTTTGCTGAACACATACTGAAAATTTTACCTCACATTTTATGGAGGATTTCATTGCATAAGAATAAAAGGTTGCCAATTCTTTACACATTTGGTTCCAAATAACAAACAATTCATGTATTACAGATAAATGAAGAATTCCAAAGGTGTACTGGTGTTCCACAAGAATCAGTTTTTATGTCCCAGCTGGACAAATACACTCAAAAACTTCTTGACCTGTTTAGTGCGAAGGGTGCAGCGACTGGTCAACGCATCAATTGGAGTTATTGGAACTGAAACAGGTAAGGCAAACATGGTAACAATGTGGCTGATACATGTTTATGCAATAAGTACTTTATTTACTCATCTTGCCTAATAGGTGAATCGTGCAAAACAAAGTCATTCATTTTAAGGATAAATATAAAAAAAAGCATGTGTGTCTGTGTGTGTGTGTGTGTGTGTGTGTGTATATATGTATGTATGTATGTATGTATGTATATATATATATATATATATATATATATATATATATATATATAGATAGATAGATAGATAGATAGATAGATAGATAGATAGATAGATAGATAGATAGATAGATAGATAGAGTTGAACTCTGTTGAATAGGTTGTACAGAACCGCACTGATAATGACATTTTACGTTTGTAGTTATATTGCCTGCAATATTCCATTTTTTCATTATTCACTTACCAACTATAGGATCCAAGTACCTCTGTGGTGAGGAAGAGAGACGTGGCTCTGAGATGCCTCATTGAATACATGGGAGAGAGTGGGCAAGAGCTGATCTCTGACTACTATGTAAGTATTGTTTAAAAAGCATAGTTTTCATTCCTCACTCATTCCTTCCACATCAATGTTGTGTCTGACTCAGTTATAGTACTAAGCTGGAGCTCTGTTAATTGTTCAAAACACGCCTACAAACACATAAATGAATGTGCTGGAACCAGTGTCCCAAGTTAGCCTTTTGGTCTTTCAGTTGCTTGTAGACTTGATTTAAAAAAATAATGTCATTTTTTAACTGCAGTTTCACAAAAGTAAAATCCTTGTTTTACATTATGCAGAAGTCATAATCATCTGACAATATAACTGTAAGAATGACATTTTCAGTTTTGCCACTTATTGTTCTGTTTATTCTCATACAGGTAAAAAAAACAGAGAGCAGTGTCTATGAAGACTTGAAAATGCGCAATCTGCAGATATATGTCTGCCGTGTACCAGATGTAGTGGACATCATCATTGAGGGCATCCCTGTGCTGTCTTGGAAACCAGGCCAGGGCTCTGAACCTCCAGTATCCACCACAACTCAGCAAAACATTTAAGGTGTTTCAAAGACTTTTTGTGGGACTTGACACTGCGACTTGACACTGCGTCCAAAGTCTTCCTCCCGATTCATGACACAAAAACTTCTGAGTTAGTAAATTAGTTGAGGTTCTGTTTCTTTGCTTCATCACTTTTGTTCAATGGACAGTTTTACTTGGAACAATGTGGTAGTTACGCACAGACTTCTTCAGTTCCTGGATAAGTCTGCAGCAAATATGGGCATTTTGATTTGCTTTTGTATATATGGGCAAAGTTTGTTTTGTTATGTCAAATGCTGAGATCAGAGGCACTTTATTTTATTTTAATGTTGTAGTACATATGAAAATGTACTGTACTGTGCACTAAAGTTAGTCTGTTTATGTAAATTGCTCAGGTCAAGATTTACTGTATTTTATTGTTAGTGTACACAGATTGCATTTACAGGTCTTCTATGCTGCACTTAAAGATGAGGTTAGAAGTTTCTGTAATTTTTAATGTTAAAATGTTTACAACATCAACAAAAAAAAAATGATTATAGAATCTTAGTGTAACCAGTTGTTTGTATATGGCAAATGTTATAGAGTAATAAACATTTGACAAATACCTCTCTTTCTTTATTTAAGTTGGATTAAAAAATAATTTGTATAAACCAAGAGTAATAGAGAAAATGATTTAATTAAAATAAAAAAAAAATATTTTTTTATTTTAAATGTTACTTATTTTAATTAAGTATTATTTGATCAATATACTGATCTTTAACACTTTGGTTAAACTAAAAAAATTTTCATTATATATATAGACTCTACTTAATTTTTTTGCAAACGGTAAAATAAATAATATTGATTTTTACCAAATCAAAATAACAAGAAGTTCACCAAACTTGTTGCCTTAATTTTTTTGAGTTTAATTTAAGTAACACTTTTTACAGTGCAAAAGCAATAACTGTAGCATGTAGAAAAGTAGAAATTCAGGGTAATAAATAATAATGAAGGGACAGGACATCACTAGTCTCTAACGGGACATCCCTAGTCTCTCACAGGACATAACAAGTCTCTCATGGGACATCACTAGTCCCTCACGGGACATCACTGGTCTCTCAATAAATTTCACTAGTCTCTCACAGGACATAACTAGTCTCTTACAGGACATCACTAGTATCTTGATGAACTTTACTAGTCTCTCACGGGACATCACTAGTCTCTTACAGGACTACACAAGTCTCTCATTGGACATCACTAGTCTTTCACAGGACATCTCTAGTTTCTCACAGGACATCTCTAGTTTCTCACAGGACATCACTAGTTTCTCACAGGACATCACTAGTCTCTCACTGGACACCACTAGTCTCTCATTGGACATCACTAGATATCACTAGTCTCTCACATGACATCTCTAGTTTCTCACAGGCAGGGCCGGGGCTTCCATAGAGGCGACCTAGGCGGCCGCCTAGGGCGGCAGAATAGAGAAGGCGGCGTCCCCGAAGCTACCCTTCACCACCTGCGCCCTCATCCGCGTCTAGGGTGGCAGAATAGAGAGCGGCGTCCCCAAAACTATCCTCGCCACCCGCGCCTCAGTAATATCTGCGTCTAGCGCGGCAGAATAGAGAGGGTGGCGTCCCCTAAACTACCCTCGCCACCCGCGCCTCAGTTATAGCCGCGTCTAGGGTGGCAGAATAGACCATCCCGGTTTCACTTTAGGTTTGAGGGCGGCGTGACCGTCCTTTGCCTAGAGCGGCAGTTCAGCTTGCTCCGGCCCTGCTCACAGGACATCATTAGTCTCTCACAGGACATCATTAGTTTCTCACAGGACATCACTAGTCTCTCACAGGACATCACTAGACTCTCACAGGATATCTCTAGTTTCTCACAGGACATCACTAGACTCTCACAGGATATCTCTAGTTTCTCACAGGACATCACTAGACTCTCACAGGATATCTCTAGTTTCTCACAGGACATCACTAGACTCTCACAGGATATCTCTAGTTTCTCACAGGACATCACTAGACTCTCACAGGATATCTCTAGTTTCTCACAGGACATCACTAGACTCTCACAGGATATCTCTAGTTTCTCACAGGACATCACTAGTCTCTCACAGGACATCTCTAGTCTCTTACAGGACATAACTAGACATCACTAGTCTCTCACAGGCATCACTAGACATCACTAGTCTCTCAGAGGACATCACTAGTCACTCACTGTACATCACTATTCTCTCACAGGACATCACTAGACATCAATAGTCAGAATGATTGGTGATGTAAAGCCATGCTAAACCGCTGATGTCACTAGTTAGGTGAGGTTTTAGCTTTGCAAATTGCACTGTAACGTTAAGTAGCCTAACGAACGATACTTAGTACTAACTCACGGAAGTTCATGTTAAATGCTAACTAACGATTGAAAGTATTGATAAAACTTATGTGAACGTAGCATTGAAACATTTACTAGGCATGACTAAAGATCTTTTTTCATTTAATATCTGTATTGGTGGGCAGTTGAGAGTGCCCTTTTTCTGATTGTAGAGGCTAAGCCTATTGCTTGAAGTCCCTGAGAGTTGTTAGACAGGCACTCAGCTGACGCACACTGTCTTCTGGCTGATGAAGTGTACACGCAATCAACAGTCTTCCTGCTGATTTGTTTAAAATTGAGAACTAAATGGTGGAAATAACCGCAGATGTTCACTAGAGAGGACATGTGAAACATGTTTCTTTATCTTTAAAGTTTTTTTTTTGCTTTTTCTTCAGATATTCAAATAAATATACAACAACATTTCAAGACAATGTTATTTAATGAAAATTATAAGTCACTTATTTTTCTTCTTTCCATAAATTGTTTTTGTTTTCTTTGAGGAGGAAAAGGAAGTTCCTAAAACCCCACCTCTGAATTTGGTGTCATTTAAAAGTCCTAAATGACCACTTAGAGGATAAAAGTAGCTTGCAGAAGATATACAGATTTACAAATATCTTTTAGAGAGGACAACTTTGAAGAGCTGGTAGTCAAGAGGATATAATTATGAAGATAACTTTGTTTCTATAAACAGAACTTCTCTCCTCCTATATCCTTAGGTCTGAATGCAGACACAGTGGAAAGCAGAGTCAGCAGGTCCCTTGGCCTATCTATTTCAACTATTAGCCCAGCTGACAATGTGGAAGATTTTAAACCTGAGAACATGACAGCATAGATATGCGATGTGTCTGATTGGTAACAAACCAAAAGTCTACAATTAGATTATATAGTTACACAATAACTTTAAATATCACTTTAAGGTGTAGAAGTGTCTTGAAAAAGTTCTAGTCAAATATTATTTACTGTCATCATGGCAAAGATAAAATAAATCAGTTATTAGGAATGAGTTATTAAAACTATTATGTTTAAAAAATGCTATATATATATATATATATATATATAGTTGAATTGGGATCATACAAATACAAAGAAATATGAAAAAAAAACAAAAAAAACAATAACAATATAGTCAGATACGGGTAGGTGCGTGTGCGTGTGTGTGTGTGTGTGTGTGTGTGTGTGTGTATGTAAAAGGTAACTTGGTGTACAGGTCAGAGTACAATAGGCCTACATAGATAGGAGACAATTACAGTTAATAAAAGAAGCAAGTATCACAGATATAAATAAAAACAAATCCCATAACCCAGTGTTGGGTTGTGGCTGGAGGGGCATCCGCTGTGTAAAACATATGCTGGATAAGTTGGTGGTTCATTCTGCTGTGGCAAACCCGGATTAATAAAGGGCCTAAGCTGAAAAAAAAAATGAAAAAATGAATGAATAAATTGCGGGTTCATTTCTCTGTGGTGACGCCTGATGAATAAAGGGACTAATCCGAAGGAAAATTAATGAATAACATTGGAAAGGTTCTCTTTAGGTTATAATATATAAACCATAAAATAACCAGTAACTAAGAGGGAATAAAACTATTGCAAAAAACAAGCAAACAAAACTTCCTGGAAGCGTTCCCAGAACATTTTTATTTTATTTCCCTAAAATAATGAGCAAACAGGAAGGTCATCGGTGCATTCTAAACTGGATTTTAAAGAAACAGAAAGAGCAGGTATCACAACCTCATTTCAAAATGTAGGTGCAAACTGCAAAGAGACGTTACTCAAAAAAAAAAAAAAAAAAACTGAACTACGAGCAGTGACTTCCCAAGCCCCATACATGGCACCGAACATATTAAAACGTCATGTTGTTTTTACACTGTACTGAAGCGTGAGTCAGATGAAGAGAAAGCATAAGAGTTTCGATTAAGATCGCTGCCTTCTCCACACAAGTGGTGCTCGCTGCACATACCTCTGCTCTGCTGCTTGTTTGTGTGTCTGTCGATTTTTACCCACGGCCACTTGCGTCTCCACCTGCACCACTTGGGTCTGAGAGCAGTCCTTCATAGAAAGCAATCGTCGGAAACTGAACGGGAAACTGAACGGTTCAATCAGCGGCATATTGTGAGCGCGGATGAGGTGTCTGTAATCATGCTTGTCTCCAGTCACTTCATGATCACTATTACTGTCATATCGTATTTTTATAGGAGCGGGGCAGAAGGTAAGCGATTCACATCTTTATGACTTATTTGGCCATTGTACGGTTGTAAATACGCATGAAGCAAAAGTTGACAATAAAGAGGAGAATTTTATAGATCTTAAAAGTAAAAGATTGAAAAAATGTGTTAGCAAATAATTTCCTATAAATGGCGTGATTTTAAAAGACTAATATGATATTTTAAACCAAGCAAATATTTGTTCAAATAGGCTGTGTCAAGAACGTATTTGCTATTACTATAATTTGGCACACGTATTTGGCTTTTAATATCACACTCGATTATTTATTTACTGCTTTATGACATGTTTTTGAAAATCATAAAATATAAAAACTTTCTTTTTAGCATTTTTTAAACCATGTGATGTCATATAAACAGTTTAATAACACTTTGTTAATACTATTTTAAGGTAGGCTACTTACTAATTATAATGTTTCATGTATAATCACATACCTCTAACCTCAAATGTAATCTTCGTGCTGACCCTATGCCAAGTACATGTAATGAATTAATATTAGTCAGTTAAATGATAATTATAGACAAATGATAGTTATGCACGTCAAGATTAAGCAAAACTGAAATGTTATTATGTATTTATTTTATTTTTGACTGTAGTTTATGCCCTCGTTGCTGCTCTTATAGAATAATATGTACTGTTTCAATCATCTAATATATCATCTTCAATGAATATATATATATATATATATATATATATATATATATATATATATATATATATATATATATATATATATAAATGATTGCCTAAAATCAAAACTAACTTTTCTGTCTCTGTCTAAGTCATAACATGTTAAAAGATACAGTGTACTGTATATAGCCCCTAGGCAGTTTTTGCTGTCAAAACACTGGCATAACATCTAGATAATCAGGATACATGCAACATACCTTCTCAATTACATAAGGGTTTGTTATTGAGTTGATATCATATTGAAAAATTTTGTTCAAGAATATTACGTACCGAACATTTCCAAACTTTCAATCCCTTAGTTTGAAAGCTGGTTGTATTATTAACACAACTTGTTTTTCAAAAGTTGTCTTAGTGTGACCACTTCTGCGCAAGATTGCTTTTTTCACTTCTGCCATTTGAATGCTTTATCTTTTCAAAAAGGCACAGTTTGGCAGTTTTTGTTTTTAGTTTAGTTTTACAAGACAACATTTTTAAACAGACCCAAATTAATCATATGCATGTCAACTCATGTCACCAGATATGTAGGTGTGTCCGTGGGTTATTTTTTGTTGCAGTTTGCTCCTGGCTTAAAACTAAACTGCACAATTACAAGAAAACGAAAGTCATGTGGGCTGCTTTGTTTTTCTGTGTGTTTTCTGCTCTCTTGTCTGTTGTGATTTATACAATCTGTCTAAGACATCGCCATTGTTTAATGATTATTGACTCTTTTTGCCCAACCTGTCCTTCTTCCTTGTTTGCAGTTGGTGAAGTTTCCATTTGGTCGAGTCATTTTGATCAGTGTGCTTTTTCAAATGTTTTAATACTGTGCTTTAGGATAAATGTAACTCATGAAGCATGCTTAAAACTGCTCTTTTATTTTAGTAGTTATATCATACCGTACACTTCATCAAAAACTTTATAAAAAAAAAGAAAAAAGTTATTTCTTTCGTTTATGTTTATTATTTATGAGCATGTTTCAGTGTTAATGGAAAGTTAAGGTTTGTCCAATTAGTTTATTTTCTTACATCCCTCTTATAAGGGTTGTAAGAGACTGATGATCAAAGACAGCTTTTTTTACCCTGTCACATGTTTGGGTGTCTGCTTTAGGGGTCATATTTATAGTGCTATAATGTCAGTTCGGTTTGGATTGAGGGATCTCTAGTTAGATTTGTGACAGTGTGTATGGTTTGTCACTTGGCTGTCTGGATTCTTTCAGTCTGTGAGTGTAAGGAGGGAGTTTTAGGGCCTACTCACACTATGCCATCCGTACCGTGCCCAGGCCTGTTTCCCGGATCGTTTGAGAAGTGTGAGTGCGCTAATTCGGGCTCAAGCTCGGTTCACTTGGCCGGCCCTGGCCCGGTTGGAAGAGGTGTGCCTGAGCGTGGTTCACTTGGGCTTTGGCGCGGTACACTTGTGTGTGAGTGCAAAACGTGCCAAAGCCAAAGCTGCGCGCTTCAGCAAACCTCCTCATTTCTGCAGCACGAGGGCTTTATGATTGTTTATAAGCGCCAAAAGTGGTGGATCTGTTCGGCGAAATATTTGACTGCATGTCACCGCATCCCTAAGGAATGTTTGGCGAAATATTTGACTGCATGTCACTGCATAACAAACGACTGAAACGATATAACTAGAGAAATCTCCACTGTGCTGCTGAGTGAGAGAGCACTTTTCACTGCGTGCCGAGGCCGGTTTGTGGTGTGAGTGCGGACGGGAGGGGGGACAAGCGTGCTTTGGCCCGGTTCGAGGCAACTGTACCTAGTGTGAGTACGGCCTCAGTTTGGAGTGGGAGTAATCAGTGAGCGAATTCAGAATAAAAAATTACATTAAATCATTTTTGTCTTTCAGCATTTCTGTAATGTTCTTAAAATTGATTGAAGTTGTTTTTCTTAAATAAAAAAGACAAGTTGTTTGATTTAAAAGCTTTTAGGGTTAAATACAGCTACACAGGCCTCATCTGTCCTACCTGCCATGCTACTGTGCGGTGGCTATTAATCCACCTTTGGGGGAGAACATTTTTTTATGTTGAGTGATTTGTAAAAATCAAAGTTTTGTTTTATACTGTGACATATTACTCTTGGTGAAATGTGTTTTATGTTTGATCCTTTATAGCACTGGTGTCAATTCCAGTTCCTGGAGGGCTGCAGCTTTGCACAGTTCAGTTTCAACCCTAATTAACCACACCTGATCAAACTAATTGAGTCCTTCAGGCTTGTTAGAAACTGTTACGTCCTTTTAGATGTTAATATTAAACTAGGAGTAGATGACAATAACATACATTAGTTTAATGTGTGTGACAAGCGGATGGAGAAAGAAATAAACTGAATCAAATAATCACTGCAATTATTTATTGCCCATATATCCCATGAAAACCAGTGAAAATATATTATACAGTGAAAGAAAAATATTTACAATGATTAAATAATGAATTACCTGGGGGGAGAGGAAGTAGTTGAATGTGCTTAAATCAAAGAAATAAATATAACAAAACTCAGTAACTGTTTTCACCAAACTAAACTAAATATGAAAAGAAAAGCATGAAAAGAAACATCTTCAACGTACCAAACGTCTTAACTAAACTGCTCTAACTAAAAACAAAACATACAGAAAACAGCACATTCTCCTGAACCTAATGAACTAATACAAAATATCAATCTGAGTGTTGTATATGTATATCGCGCGACTTACTCACTCCTACACCTCTCCGAGGCATCACTCAAACATGTCAGTTAACTGGACAATTTCACAAGCATTGATAAATCGCAAACTTTAGACAAGAGCATTAAACAAGCAAAACACATTCTCTCAGACTAGCCCTCGCAAGAGAGACTGTCCTCACAGAGACCCACAGAAAGAATAAGAGCGAGAAGTGGCGAGAAGGAAAGAGAGAGAGAGAGATCGCCATTGCAGTTTGGGCTCGGCTTTTAAACGCTACGCCAACCAGCGATTGGTGGCGCAAACCCAGCGTCAGCGGCCAACGTCATCAGCACGAAATGCGGATCCTCCAATGCCGTTCGTACCTGTAACACATGCAAGAAACGACACACCCACATACAAACGAACGCACACACTTATCCAAAATACGTTCTGCAAGGGAACGTTACACTCACCCTCTTAAGACTAAACATAAAGCAACAGTAAGCTCTAGATAAAGTGTCAGCAATGACATTTTCAGATCCTTTCTTATGCTTTATGTTTAAGTTAAAATTTTGTACAATCAACGACCAACGCATAAGGCGTTGATTGTGATTGTACATTCTAGACAGAAACACTAGGGGATTGTGGTCAGTGTATACTGTAACAGGCAAAACTGATGAACCCACGTAAACCTCAAAGAACTGCAACGCCAAAATCAAAGCCAAAGCTTCCTTCTCAATGGTGGAATAATTACGTTGGTGTCTATTAAACTTACGTGAAAAGTAACAGATTGGGTGATCAAAGCCAACATCATCTTCTTGGACAAGCACAGCGCCAGCACCCAAAGAACTGGCATCAACTTCTATTTTAAATGGGCGTGAGAAGTCAGGTGCGGCAAGAACAGGTGCACAAGTAAGCAACAACTTAATACTCTCAAAAGCCTGTTGGCATGCATCAGACCATACAAAATTAGCTTTTGGACTCAACAAGCTAGTCAAGGGACAAACAACAGTCGAGAAATTACGACAGAAACTCCTGTAATAACCAGCCATTCCTAAAAAGCGGCGCAACTCGCGTCTCGTTGTAGGAATAGGAAACTCAGCTATAGCTGTCACTTTGGCACTCACAGGACGAACTTGACCTTGACCTACTTCTTTGCCCAAATAGGTAATTGTTGCTTTCCCAAATTCACACTTGGCTAAATTAATAGTCAACGAAGCGTCAGATAACCGTTTAAAAACAGTACGAAGTGCAGACAAATGCTCATCCCAGTCACAGGAATAAATTACTAAATCATCGAGGTATGCATGGCAATTTGGAACTCCAGACAATACGATGTTTACGAGGCGCTGGAAAGTTGCGGGAGCGTTTCGTAACCCGAAAGCCATTAATTTGTATTGTAGGAAGTTATCCGGTGTAACGAAAGCTGAAATTTGCGCAGCTCGCGGAGATAATGGTATTTGCCAAAATCCTTTGAGTAGATCTAACTTCGTGACAAATTTTGCCGAACCCAAATTGTCAATACAGTCTTCCATTCTGGGCAATGGATAACTATCTGGCACTGTTACGGAATTTACCTTACGATAATCCGTGCAAAAACGGAATGTACCGTCAGCTTTTGGCACAAGCAGACACGGAGAGCTCCAGGGACTATGACTATACTCTGCTAAATTATTTTTTAAC